CCCCAAAAAGAAACAGACCCCCCCCCCCCCCCCCTCCCACACACACATAAACAAACACACTCACAAACACACACATAAACAAACACACCGAGACACACAGAGAGAGAAAGAGAGAGGGAGAGAGAGAGGACAGAAACTTTTTAAGATTTTCTTCTCTCTGAAAATGCAATACAAGAAAATTGCAGAAAATTATAGGGAAATTGCTGTCGGTGTAGAAAATGTCAGTGTGCCTCTGTGTGTGTGCGTGTGTACGTGTGCGTGTCCGTGCGTGCGTGTGTTGTATTCTGTTTTTTATATGCGATTTATTTACGCGTATTCTTGCGTTGCTTTTGTGTTTTTGCTGGGCGTATAATTTTATATTTTAGATGTACGAAACTTGATAGATACTGAAAATGTTTGATAGTTCAGTTTTTTGCGTGTTGTATGTATGTGTGTATGTGTGTGTGTGTGTATGTTTGTGCGAGTTTGTATGTTTTTTTAAATGCAAGTGTTTGTGTTCTATGCGTGGTTGATACGTGCGAGCACTTGCATATGTGCTTGCACGGCATTTACACAGTCCAAGTACATCTATTCACACGCGCTCACACGCACACACATAAACACACGCACACATAAACACGCACACACAAACACAAACACGCATAAACATATACGCTGATGCTTTACAATGACTAACAAGCAACAATTGAAATGCAAGGATGGCGAAAAAGAAACCAATTATAATAAGGTGCTGCGTTTAAACTTTCAAAGAAAAGTAAGATGATGACGACGACGACGATGATGATGATGACGATACTGATAATAATGGTGATGAAGACGATAATGATGATGATGATAATGGTGGTGGTGATGATGATGATGATAATGGTGGTGGTGATGATGATGTTGATAAATAGATGTTACAGAATACGTTGAAGACTGGTATTGTAATCGAGTAATACAAGAAAAGTGATGATGAAGAGGCAGATGATGTTTTTTTGACGTCAAATTTCTCTGTGTACACATGGATGTCATATGCGTGTGTTTGTTTGTGTGTGTTTGTATGTGTGTCTGTGTGTTTGTTTTTTGTATGTATGTATGTTGTTGTGTGTCTTTCTATTATTCTTTATGAGTACTAATACCATTTTATGATTGCTTTTTCTGTAACTTTTAGAAGCGCATGTATTTATCAAAATTCATTTTAGTCGTTATTCTACGACTTTAAATATAGTCAAGACTACTGGCATTATTTTTTGTATTATTAATATTAATAGTATTATTTTTTTTATTTTTATTATTATTATTATTATCGTTATTGTTATTATTATTGTTGTTGTTGTTATTGCACCTACTCTAGAGCATAATAGCATCGCTACATCAAAGAATCGCTGCAAGTTGGTCTATTGAAAACTCTGCTACACACACACACACACACACACAAACACATACACACTCACACATACATACACACACACATACACACACATACATACACACACACACACACACACACACATAGGTACACACGAACACGTACACACACATACACACACAAACACAAACAAGCTCACACACACACTTACATACGGACAATCAAATTCACACTACACGCACACACACCACATAAATATAATAATGTACACAAATATACATACAGGCGCGCCACACACACATACATACACACCTATATCATTTATTTATTCATCAAAAATACTTCAAAATTTACAATTAACGGCGGAAAAAGATTTTTTTTTCAAAATTTTTTCGTAAACTTAAAAAATAATTATAGAAAATAAAAACATTATGACGTAATTGTTAAAGAAATACTACACAAACACGATCGTCACACTCAAATAATAAATACATGAAAAATTAATAATATTATTATTCATTGAAAAGAAATAATTACCCAATTAATATTAAAATAACTTTAATTGTTTTAATTAATTTTAACAATATAACGCTAAAATTGTTAACAAAATGATAAAATGCAATAAAATTGCGTTCAAACATACTACATAAATATTAAATATTTTTTTAAATTAAAATAAAATTAATATTTTTTGTCAAAACAAATTTCTGCTTATATTAAGAAGTTTTTTTAATCTACTAAAACGCCTCAAAATTTGTATAAATTAATTTGAATAAATAATAAATAAATAAATAAATATATATAAATAATATGTATAGATTCAAATGTATGTTAATTCACATATAATACATACAATATACACATGTCGCCACATTTGCGTTCACATACGTTCATTCATACGTTTGTTTGTATGTTTGCTCAAATCTTCATTTTGATCATTCATTTAACTTTTAATTCATCATTTAATATTTCGTTCATTCATTCACTTATTTATTCATTTATCCATTTATTGATTTGTCTATCCATTCATTATTCGTTTATTTAAATGACAAAAATTGAGTGATAAAAATATAAACCAAACTGCAACAGTAGTTGGCAGCAATAACCCACACCACCACCAGAAGCAACAAAAACAACAAAATGTATTCGGTCTCGGTCATTTTTAAAGGCCGACCAGCCGAATACTGCAATTGCAATCTCCGTTTAAACCAGCACTTTTTAGGATTGCAGAACAGCAATTGCTGGTTATTATAGTCGTCATAGATCTTAAAACATTAAAATTTCAGAAGATTGAATATTATATCGATAAAGAATTGTTGGATGGGCATGGATTGCCAACTGTTCTTGTTTCGATAGCTTATTTTTCATCCTAAAATTTTTTTTAATCCATGATAATTCGGCTTTTGGCTTCGTCTGAATAGTAGATCAACTACTTGGTTGTCCGGCCAAATTCACTATTCTGACCATCTCCAACTTAAATGGCAGCAACCCCAAGTACAACAACCTCCAACAACAACACGGCATTTGTGTGTACTGTGATGAACATACAACAACATCTTTGTGCCCATACAAATTCCTCAGGTACGCACAATAATCTTACGTACACTTAACATTTTTCTATGCTTACGACAGCAACAACAAAAACAACAACAACAGATATATACATAATGAGGACAACGATACGCTTATATACAGCAGCATCAACAACAACAAACGTGAACAAAACATTTCAAGCCGACAAAGTTGCGTGATTGTACAGCTGATTACAAGCATGCCAGCTGACGGGATATTTGCCGCAAGAAACACCACCACCGTTACCACCATTTATATTCTGACCGCCACTGCTACTACTACTACTACTTCCACCACCGCCGTTGAATTGGTGATAGTAATGATCCGGTGGTGATGGGTAGCCGTTGAATATGTAATTATTGTAATTAACTTGAAACTCGTTGTTTCTACTGCTGCTGCTGTTGTGGCTGTTGTGGCTGTTGTGGCTGTTGTGGTTGTTGTAGTGAATGTTGTTGTATATGTCTGTCGCAATGCTGTGGCTGCTGTTTGTGGTGCCACCGAAAAATTCATTGTTGTGGTTTGGATCGGTGGGAACAAAAAATGAATGCGTCCAGCTGGCGAGAGAGGAATGGGGTGGAGGTGACGATGGTGAGGAGGACGACAAGATTTTGTGGTCGCTGGAGTTTTTGCTGTTTTGGTAGGGATGGTAGAAGAGTTGGTGGTGGTTTGGGTGCTGGTAGTTGTTGTTGCTGTGTTGTTGTTGCTGTTGCTGCTGCTGTTGTTGTTGTTTGCATGAGTTGCCGTTGACGTGGCTTGAGGATTTTGTGGTCATTCTTGTGGACACAGTTGCAGTTGCAGAACTGGAAGTTGCTGTAGCGATAGTAGTTGAGTGAGATTTTGTTATTGGTTGTGTTTTTGTTGTTGTTGATGAGGATGAAGATACGGACTGTTGTTTGAGAAGATTGTTGAATGAACTGCTTAAGCTGTTGTTGTTGTAGTCGTTGTTGTTTTTGAGGGGTGTGATGTGATACAGGGTAGGGAGATAGGAGTTGGAACTTTCATAAAGATATTTGACGTTGTTGTGGTTGAGTTGTTGCTGAAGTTGTTGCTGTTGTTGTGAGGGTTGTTGAAATGAAATTTTTTCATCTACTCCTGGAGAATTTGGCTGTTGTTTCAATAGAAGCTGCTGTTGCTGCTGCTGCTGGTAGGGATGATTGTTGTCAGGTAGCGAATTATCATCCGCAGTCATGTGATCTCTGCTGGGCGAATCTTCATTAGTTGTGGAGCTGCTGCTGTTGTTGTTGTTGTTGTCTTGCTTTTCCACTTTATCAACCACACCGCTGTTGTTGCCATTGCTGCTGCTACCTGTGCACTGCTGCTTTATCAACTTCTTCACTTTGCTCCGTCGGTTTTGAAACCAGATTTTTACCTGTTAGCATTCGTTATTATCATCGTCGTCATCATCTTATCGTCATCATCATTCTATGTCACCATTTCATCATTCGTGTCAATAGAAGGAAAATGACTCAATTTTAATTCAGCTCTCCATACAAATGCTCCTCTGTTTGGCGATAATTCAGAACAAAATGTGAAAGTTATGCTACTCGGAATACTGAAACGCACGGAATAATGGTTGCAAATGATTTGGCCTCTTTCAAAATTTTGGTAGGCGCGTTAGCTCCGTCGGTAAAAGTTCCGTGTCTCGAGTTATTATAGCGCAACGATCTGATTCGAATACTGTCTGTTTGAAACAATCATCTCTGTAACTATCATGAGTATGATGCAGAGCTTAAACACAAAACATTATCTGTACTAAGCGACTGGTTGTGTAATAGATCAATCAATCATGAATTGCTTAATCAGTCAAACAATCGGTTGAACATTTAATCAGCCATTCGATAAATCAATCAACCAACCAGCCAATCAATCAATCAAACAACAAACCAGTCAACCAATCAATCAACTAACCAGCTAATCAATCAATCAATCAACCTGCCAACCAACCAACCAGCCAATCAATCAATCATCCAATCAGCCAACCAATCAACTAATAAATCAATCAATCGACCAATCAACTAATCAATCAATCAATCGACCAATCAACCAACCAACCAGCCAACCAATCAACCGACCTGTGTTTGGGTTAAACCGAGAGAGGCGGCCAACTCAGCTCGTTCAGGGAGAGCAAGATACTGGGTCCTCTGAAACCTTCTGTTCAGTTGCTGCAGCTGCAGACTTGAATATATCGTTCGTGGTTTGCGCATCTTCTTCTTGCCAACTAAGCCAACCATGTGTTCGTTTTCCGGTTGCTGCTGCTGCTGCTGTTGATGCTGATGTGTGGCTGACGTCAATTTATTGCCGATGATGTTGCTGATGTTGTCGAGTTGATTTTGATGTTGTAGATGTTGGTGGTGATGATGGTTGTGCTGGAATGGTGGTGGTTGGTGTGAGTGTTGTCCGAGGAATGTATGTAAGTTCAGTGGATCGTATGATGCGGACGACGATGATGATGAGGAGGAGGAAGATGAGGAGGAGGAAGAAGAGGATGCTGCTGCTGATGATGATGATGAAAGAGAGGAGAACGATATTGTTGCAGGTATATCTGTTTTGAAATTTGAAAAAATTGTTTTTTTAAACGTTCGACTTTATCACCATCATCTCGATGACATCATCTTCAATCAAATATTTTAAAAAGGTTTAAAATTTTATAAATATTTTAATAATGAAAATAAATTAACAAGTCACGCGATATACATAAACAAAAACAAATCAGTAAATAAAACTCCCGTGTTTTTATACTACCATAAATAATTTTGTTTGCAAAATATATACAATCTTTATACAACCATAAGCAAGACTATATACAAACTTCATACAAACCAATACTACCTTTCACGTACAAAGTTTATACATGCAAACCGCGTGCAAACCACATACAAATGTACCTTGTACTTATATATATATATATTTGTATATATATATATATATATATATATATATATAATTTTATATAATGTATTTTCAAAATTAAATTTAAAATATATATTGAAATAAACGCATTTTATTTTCTTTGCTGTGAAAACAACATTTTGACTAGTAACTACATAGTTTAAAATTATAAATGTTGTAATACCATAGCAATATTCCGATAAAAACAACAACAATAATAATAATAATAATAATAGTAATGATAATAGCAACAATAATAGCAACAAAAAAATAAAATATAGGTGGATTAGCTCAGACTGCAGAAATGTCATGGAATCAGTCCAATTGAGTTTCTTGTTACTATGGGTGAATGTTCAAAAAGAAAAAAGTGATAGTGGTAGGCCCACCCGTGTGACCAAAAAAAGAATTTGAGAACAAAAATTATATAAATTATAATTATACAAAATTATAAAATTATAAATTATTATGTTTCCGCAAACTCACGGGTATTATTTAACGTTGGTATAAATAGAAAAAAAAATATGCAAGTGTGATACAGTTTATCATCATAAAAGCTACGTCAAAAAACCCCCCAAAGATATATAATACCATAGACAAGTCTACAACACAAATATAACAACATAGACACCGAAACATAGATAAAATTACATAGACATTTTAACGGTGACGTTGATACGTCCATGGACAAATCAACGACAACTAACTCAATCCTCTGGCTACGTTCGGCAAATGTGATGCTGCCATACACGAGCCATACGTTGGGTAGAAAGTTCTAGAAGGATTTTGATAATCACGTGATAGGTGGCCAATTTTGTTTACGTTGTTGTTGTTGTTTATGTTATTGCAGTTGTTATTATAAAGGATTAAGTTATTATTAATGTTGTTGTTTTTGTTGTTTACGTTCTGGCGGATGTTGTCAAATTGTTGTGAAACCACTGTGAGATGTTGTTGATGTTGTTGTTGTTGATGATGTTGTTGATGTTGTTGTTGTTGATGATGTTGTTGTTGATGATGTTGTTGTTGTTGATGATGATGTTGTTGTTGTTGATGGTGTTGATGTTGCTGTTGTAACTGGACGTACACACTATCATCATCTTCTTCTTCATCTTCATCATTATCGTCCTCATCAATAGCATTATGAGTGTTGTTAATGTTGTTATTATTATTGTTGTTGTTGTTGATGATGTTATTATGATGACAATGATTGTCTATAAGTTCGTCACCATCATTGTATGTAACAGCCATTGAGTTGTAGCTGCAATAAACTGAGTGCTTTTGTGTTGTGGCTGCTGTTGTTGCTAATGATGCTGATACTGATGATATTGATGATGATGACAATGATATTGATGATGTAGATGATAACGACGATGATGATTGTGATGGAGAAAAATGTAGTAAAGATGCTGAAGTTGTTTTTGTTGATGATGATGATGATATTGAAACCTGTGAAGTTACTGATAACGATGCTGATGAGGATGTACTGAACGCTAGGAATGATGATGATGACGACGATGATGGCGATGATGACGTTGAGATGAAATTTTCTGTCACGTGGTTTGTAGGAAAAGATAATGACGAAGATGATGACGAAGATGATGACGAAGATGATGACGATGACGATGACAATTGATTGGACATCACAAAATCTCTTAACACCTAGAATGGGCTTATAAAAATTAGTAAAAATT